GGAGGGATTAGCTAGTAATCTTTCTCCTCCAAGGTCACTCATCTCTTCTTCACATCTTACCTTGGCGTGGAAACTTAGAGGTTCTCAATTTTGGGAACTTGGAGAAACCTATTCTTCCATCCAAATCCATGGATCTAAGAAGCAAGGAATGAAGGCCCTATCTCTTGGGTGATTATCCTTTGCTTATGCAAAGAGGAATCAACAAAGGTATAATTTCTCAACTCACCTTGTTTTGAGTTGAGTCTTGGTTCACCCAACTACTAGGCTTTGAATTTCATGGTTAATGTTTTGTTTTAAGTGCATACAAGCATGATTCCGCCTTTAATTAGTTAATTGCATGCTATAGATGTTGCTTAAATGAACATGTTTTTCACAAAATTTCCTTCAAGTCACTTGCGACTCGGAACCATAAATAAGGTCTGTACGACAAGACTTTGCACCTAAATTGGATCCAATATAAGCATATGGTGCAGGAGGTGACATAATAAACAGGCATGTGCCATATCTATGGCTAAATCACAATCACCCTAAGTGCAGTCTTATGAGCTCAACATTATTCAATCACATATCACGTATCACATCATCGATGATTCACATAACCAAACACAACTTACCTGAGCTTACTTGAGCGTCCATAACACCACATTTATATATATAAAGCATCACTTACCAATTCATAGATGAATTATAAACTTATATGCATGGCATTTATGGCATACTATCATTTAAACATATATTTTTTTGGGAAAATATCGAGTATATAATATATACTGAAAACCAAAAGCCCACTCACTGGTAAGTTGAAGGGTCGTAGCCCCCGAGTCACCCTTGGATACGCTCGTCCTTGGGATAAGTCTCACCTATATGCGAAATAACTATAAAAACATTATTTTAGAGCACATAGACAAAACTAGCTAATAACTTCTCATACAATGCTCAAAATGGGTATATGAATATACCACAGTGACCTACACAACCTCAAGATCATCCCCAAATTTTTAGATTAATTTTTGGACCCTTCACACCCCGCCACGCACCGGCCAAGGCACGTTAATACGCGCCCCCACGCGCAGCCACGTGACAGGCATACTGACAGTGTCAGTCAACGCTGTCAGGTATATACTAGGGAATATTCAATTAAGTCCTAACGGAATCCATCCAAACTAACTGACGGCGTCGGAATATTCTATCAGACTTGATGAAATATTCTGTCATCTCCTACCTTAGAACTCCGACGACCGTCGCTGGCACCAGAATACTAGGAACATTTGAAACCTTGATATCTCGGCCATTTTTGCACCATTTTTCACGATCTTTATACCAAAATGAAGTGCATGAAGAATAGAACAAGATTATACCTCTTCCAAGCCTAAAAAACCATGGGATCTTGCAGGGAAAATTCGAGAAAAACTGGCCAAGGTTGTAACTCACTATCCTGACGTCCAAAACACTCCAACGATAAACCCTGAGCTTCGTGACAACCTTCTAAAGCTCCCTATGAGCTTGAAATTCCCTGAAACCAACATATTTACGTTTGCATGAACAATGACAAAATCGGTGGTTCATGGTTCGACATGGAATCGAAGGTTTCCTTACCTGAAAATAGTACCAATCGAATCGTCTGAGCTTCATGAACACAATGGTGTGCTTCACACCCTCGATCTGTCACGTTTCGAAGGGTTTTGGGTGTCGTCCGTACAAGAGAGAAGAGAGAGAGAGAGAGCACGAGAATGAGAGAGAGAATGTGTGTGTGGCCTAGGATTGGTCAACAACCAAAATACACAATAACTTAATCCTAATTGGTTCCAAACAATTAGGATTTAAGGATATTGACCCAAAAACAACATTTAAACCACATTACATAACTTAACGTCCATGGGCATTTTCATCAATTTACATCAACAAGCATTATTTTCCAGGACGGGCTGTGAATAATGACCCGTTCCCAATTTTAGGATATTTTTTTTAATTTTAATAAGTGAATTTACAAAAATGCCCTTTGAGGCACATGCGTTGACTTTCGTTGATTGTCGTGCCGTGTCACGTACAACTCATTTTCTTGGCGTATCCTCGTAGTACTCGTCACTCTGAACACGTAGGCCCAAACAGAACGTAAATTGAAGTTATAATGAAGATTCTACAAACTTTTATATGTTGAGGGCATTTTGGTAAATTGACAATTGAACATGTGAAATTGGTTGTGCCACATGGGACCCACATTTGGTCCCCATTTTTCTGGATTATTCTTTTACTCATCTCATTCTTTCTCCAATGACTCTCTTCTTATCTCACATATCTTTTTCGCCCTCAACTCCCTCCCCGTGACACTTAAACACCAATCCACCTTCCCGACGAATTAACGACTTGAAAATCACCATATTCTTACTCTCCTCGGACCAACCACATTCTTACTAATGAGCTAACTACGTCATTCGGTTGTGTGTGAGGCGTGCCAACTCGACGGCCGAGCTCGTCGGTGAGTAATATTTGTTGATGTTGTGTCGAGCACACTACTGACTTCTTAATCTTACGACTGCGGCCAAGGAAGGAACACGTCTCGGTTTTCTGGTTCTAGAGCCTGAAGATAAGGCTACTAGTTCTGCGAAGTTCACAAATCATCGGCGTCGGATTTGGTCACAATAATTATATTCGTAAGAGCATAAGCACGCCGAATCAATACCAGACTATATGGGCACAAGTACTCAAAGCAGATGTACGTCTTAATCGTAAATGTGGTTTGGCCATCAGAATGTCGAACTATAAATCCCACTTGTGAGTATCCAATCATAAAACACCTCGGCGTTCAATGTGCCGAGCCTGAAAAATTGTAACACCTCACTTCACCAAAAAGGCTAATGAGATGACCTCTGCCAATAAGGATTCTAAAATCCTTCTCGACCGAGACTTGGATAGATAACTAGTCGGCCTCGACGCAGTGCTGTTATCCAAACTGAAGGTGCTCTGCGGTCGGCTGATTCTACGGCAAAAGTGTTGTTTATCCAAACTGAAGAAATTCGTCGGTTGCCTTCATAGTGTTGTTTATCCAAATTGAAGATATGTTGGTGAAAAAGGAAAACAAAAATCTCAAGGTTGTTGAGAGGTTTTGCGTAGAGCAAGGGTTTGCGCAAGGCAGTTGTGTGTTGAATTGGAGAGCTGAATGATGCACTCCTCCATCTATTTATAGTAGCAAACCTACTTCTGATCGAATCAAAACTATATTCGGATTAGGACTCCTTACCCCAATCCAATCTTATCTCAACCAGTCCTACTCCTATTAGGACTTTGAACTTAAACCCTTATCAGGCCACATTCAGTTCCCTCATCTTAGCATCCTGATTCCATCTGGACTCCTTATCATAATTAGACTCGACCCACTCGCTTTTATCCAAATCAATCCTTATTGTAATAAGACTCGACCACCCTAACTGGGTAGCCCATGAACCCTGGTCGGCCTATAGTATTTCCGGAAAAGCTCTGGACCAAACATCAACCTATACTCGACCCAATAGTATTATTTTGGGCCCAAATATTGCCCCCTCACTTCTAAGGTTTAGGCCTAAAACTTCTTGACCGAGTTTCAACCTTGAAGAAGTGAAAATTTTCAAATATTCCATCCAAAAGAAAACGGTTTTTGAAAATTAAATTGTAAATGCACTAAGGTTCCACCATCACCTTAACAATCTTACGTAGTTCTTCCAATTACTTATGATTTACACATGCATATTTTGAAAGTTAGGTTTTCCTAAAATATGCCCTACTTGGAATCTCCAACATAGAACGTATATCTAACATGCAACTTGTCCGTAGTGTCCAGATCGAATGTGAACATGCCAGACTCATTAAGTTTTGTGAAAACGTTTTGAAAAACCATGGAATCATTTTGACGTTTTGTCCATCCTAAGAAGTTACACATATTAACCACAAGAAGCCTTAGTCAATTTCAGAGACAACCCTCCGCCAAAATTGCATCAAATTATTTTTTTAAATATCCTAATGGTGATCAATCATCAAGACAATTAGATAGATTAAACTGATGATTAACAATTCAAACATGCATGCAAAATAAGTAAATTGAAATGAAACTACATATTCTTGCAGCAAACGAAATTAGTTACTAACAATCATAAAACAAAATATCATTAAGAACTTGGATCGCAAACACCTTGAAAATAAACTTGAATCGTCGAATTGTCCAAAGTAGTGCGTTCTTCTCCCCTTTCTTTCTCTAATGGCTAAATAGTCTTATTTATATTACTAGAAAATAAAATTCTACCTAGAAAAGGTCGTCTAAAAACTAGGAAACATAATAACTTAAAGAGAAACTAGGAAACATAATACTAATCAAATATGGGAAATCTGCCCAGCCATAAATCAGCCACGTTTTTGGACTTTCAGGGCTCTAAAACAGGCCCAAAATGGCTAGAAATAAAGCTTGAGATGTCCCGAACATAATTGCAGAAGGCTTCAAACCCAAAAGACACCATCTTGGATGCCAAAAAGCCCAAATAAACTTAAAACCTCACTTTGACAGCAATGTGTGCTTCTTTTTTATTTCACCGCCATAAATTATCCGCTTAGTAGAAAAATCTGAAACTTTGATACGAACAAGTCCATAGACTTGCGAACATCCTCCAATTGGAATCAGTCCAAAATTCGTCCATTTGATCACTTGAGGAAGTCGAATGTCCTACATTGAAAATATAATTCAAAGTATCAAAATCTCACCAAAATAACCAACAAAATATATAGTATAATATCGACTCCTCAATCAGAACTATGAGAATCTGGCAACCATGATGCAAATTTATTTCAGGGATCTTTGAACAGCTAGTTCAACTTTGGTTGCACTTCTTATCCTGTTTTACACAACCTTTGGACACATTAAGTCCATCACACAGTAATTAGCTCTCAGCTAGATCTGTTGTGAAATTTTTCGCAAATATAGCATCTATCTTTCCTTGGTAATTTAGGGATAGTATTTAGTAATTTGAATAGCTTAATGACATATTCTATACTGTTCACAATTTGAAGAAACCCCGATAATACGAGGGATATTATATGAATTAGGAAAAGAGAAGTTACATCCAATTATGTGACATGAACCTTATTCCTCAGAGAACAATTAAAACAAAAAGGTCAAGAAAAGAGGGAAGACGTCGAACCCAACCTCTCTAAGACAAATCTGAAAAAGGTATGGTAAGCGCCTCTGTGCACTATTTAAAAGTCAATTTATTCTGCCTATTAAGAACTACAGAGCTCAAGGCTTATGATTTGAGCGACTTTATGCTTCCAATGATGGAGAAAACGAGGACGAAAAGTCCCAGTATAGTCGAACTGCCTGTCCAAAGGTCCTTGAAGTAAACTCGTTTCAGGGTCGCCACATGACGATTCCAAAAATTCTCATAGTGCCTGTTAAGCTGTTTACAGATGTCAGCATAGCAGGATTTATCCTCCATAATCTGCTCGCAAAGTCTATTAACCAGCTTTGCCACTGCTTCGTTGCTGCCCAGCATGTTAACAATAACTTTGTTCTCAACCAGCAAATCAACATCTTCTACAGTGTCCACAAGTTGATCCATGAGCATAAAGTAATTGCAGATATAAGGCTTGTCCGGGTACAAAAACTGCTCCAAGGCCATGATGTTTCGAATAACGCACTCTGTCTCATCCTTGACACAAAACTGTGCAAGCTTCAAGTTCATATTTCGAAAACATGCCAAGTTCAACTTGCATTTAGTAGGCTTGTCTCCTTTTATGATAAAGTATCCGTCTTCTCGAAGTGGCGTAAACTTCACCCCTGCTGCCCTCAGCTTCCTTACAGCATATATATTTTTTATAGGACAAGTATTATGTTCAAATGTCATTTCTTCTTGGGGACATAGAAAATGTCTTACCAAATCAGTGAAGTGTTTTGGTTTTACCCCATTCACGGATTTTCCCTTGCTGTAATCTTTGAAGAACTCGCAGGTAAGCTTAAGAAAGGGATGATCAGGGACAGGTTCGGCTTTTGGAACATCTATACAATCAGGGACAGGTTCGGCTTTTGGAACATCTATACAAAGATCACCGAAGCGGACCAGAGGGTAGCATGGCAAGCAGTCCTGCTGGTCATGATTGGCACTGCTGTTTCTATGAGCCTGTTCATGTTCCTGTGCTTCTTTGGAATGAGGGGAACAGGAGGCAGGCACCGCAAAGTCATATAGCTCTTGAAGAAGAGAATACGGAAGCTGGTTTTCAAACAGTATTAGTTCCTGCTCTACAGCTTTCCTCAGCCACGGTGATCTTAAAATGTAATCGTTTTCATGATTTTCTGTTTCTTCAGAGTTCATCAAAAAGAGCTCAATGATGAAGCAGGCATCGACCACAATTATGTCAACAGGATCTTTGTCAAGCTCAATGGCCCCTGCATAACAACGAAGAATGTGTTCTTGACGAGCCTTGATGAATTTTTTTAGTGCAACGTCCTTCTTCAAACAACGCGCGGAAAAATTCTTGTAGTACATATTTTTGTGGGTCTCCATGTCCTTGAGTTCCGGCTTGCCATGGTGGAAAAGGCCGATTGATAGTAACTGAGGAGTGTATGCTGCTTCGTTTACTTTGCGAAGTTTGCTGGGGACCCTGTAGATACACCACTTGTCTGGCTGGTCCAAGACTAGTACATGGTCATGGAAATCTTGTTCGCGATCATTTGTCTCCGCAATTTGTGGTGTTGTCTTTATCCTTCTGAAAATGACAATCAGTAAGGTAACAACAATTAGTACTTCTGGACATAATTTCCGTGGTAACTCTACTACAACAGCATTCGCTGTAAGAAATCATTTATTACTTTCTTTTTATATGCTTGATATTTTTCTATTGGTTTTTTTATTCATATTCATACTATAATTGGCAGGCATGAAAACGGAGGACATGACACAAAACCGAGCGCAATGGCGTTCTAGGATTCATATAGCCGACCCCACTTAGTGGGAAAATGCTTTGTTGTTGTTGTTGTTGTTGTATTCATACTATAATTGGCAGGCATGAAAACATTTGATGAAGAGATGAAAACCATATTACACGAAAATAATTTGTCACGGTATAAAAAAAAATAAAAAATTCTTGCAAACCTTAGGTTCTTCCGGCGATAATTCGTGCTTGCACCCCTGATGAAAATTTTGGGCCTGGCAGGATAAAAAGAAGTTTAGTGGTAAGTAGATGACATGCATTCTACTAACTATTGATTAAAACTTGGTAATTACCTTATTAAATTTTAACTCACGAGTGTTGCCCTAAATACATTTTTGGTACCTGCTCAAATCTACTAACACACTTGCTGACACTCTCTATTATTTAGAGTAGCATTACCCTCCGAAAATTGCTTGAACAATCCCAGGATTGTATAAAGTATTGACATTTACGATTTATACACCTGAAAAATGATTGTACGGTACCTGGGGAGACTGAGAGACTTAGAGGTGTTGAAGGTGGGAGGATGTGGTGGAGGGTTAGGCTTTGGACTACTGTACTCCGCAGTCTCCTCCCTTGTTTTTTTCCCTTTTCTGACCATTGTTCTCTTGGGTCCCTGTAAGTGAAAAGCAACTCCATATTTCATGAAAAATTAATAGCTTTTTACAAGTGACACAAATTTAATTAACCACACATCAATATCCTTGTATATGGATTCTTACAAATTCAGACCATGCCTTACAACATTTGTTTTATAAAAATGCAATCTAATTGTGATTTTTTGTTTATTTATAAATTTAGTAACTAGTTAACATTGAAAAAATAACGCGGACGCGAACATTGGGTAGGCCACTTGGCCTAAACAATGTACTCGCCATCTTTCACCCAAGTCGAATTCCCTCCCTTAAAGATCTCCGAAAAATACTAGTTTCCATTGAACTATGTATCAGTAGTTCAGATTTCTATATATACTATCCATGTTTATCATTGCATGAATGATTTAAAACTGATAAATATTAATTTGCAAGCAATGATCTCTCACTAAACGCTGTAAAAAATGTGTAAACAGAAATATATTTTATATAATTTAGCAAAAAATGAAAACTGTGATTGAAGAACCTGCAAGTTTATCCCGAAGTAGTGCGAAGTTCTCCAGCCGACCACGATGAAGTTGACTTGTAAGTGGTCTTCGTATTATTGTTAAATCAAGAAACTGGTGTGGTTCTACTAACCAGATCCAAGACTTTGGCTACATTGACCTGACCATACCAGACTTTCAATCACAGCCATCCGAAGTATCCAACTGTCGGAGTGACACCACGTCACGACTTTATTTTTCTTCATCCTTTTGGCTTTCAGTTCAATTTTATTCAGTTGACGATCTGAGATTCTTAATGGTGAAAGATTATGATTGCAGACGAGTCCTTATCATTATTGGTTGCCCTGTCACTGTTTAGGGATTTTTATTGGAGATTGCACTGAGATACCCTTTTGTGAAAGAGTAATGTTTAGGGGACTAAATTTACAAACAAAATTTAGTAAACTAAATAATATGAGAGTTGATGATTAAATTATTACTTAAATCATTGATAAACGTGCTCATTATCTATTAGTAACATGTTATTTAGTTTGCAAAATTTATTTATAAAATTAATCTCTATAATATTACTCTTTGTGAAGTAATGTATTCAAGAGAAACCCTAGTACTTAAGCAAACACTTGATGTTAGGTCAACCACCTCCTAGTCAATTAATTAAACTGTGACAAAGACTAGTAATAATATGCATAAATTCAACTAGCAGTGCCAACTGAAATTAAATCCGTGTATTAAACGGAGAAGGCGAAGCCAAGTTGTTTAATGCATAGTTTTGCCTTCTCACGGTACTTAAAGTTATTAAAATATATATTAGCATATGGGCACATACAAAGTATGTGAGAAAATTTTTTGTTTTTGTTTTTGAAATAGAAAGAGAGGAAGAAAGTGATATAGAAGATGGGAGTGGGAAGTTTTTTTATTTTTTTTAATTAGATATATGTTAGGATTACATGTAGGTGAGGCTTTGAAAAAAAATAGCAAAATTTGGTTGTGTGAAATTACATTTCTACCCCATATTTCTTATTCATACTCTGTTTTAATTAGAGTGTTAAACTGGTAATTTCATAGGATTTTGGTTGACAATGAGTGTTTTATTAATTAGTAGATATATTATATATATATATATATATGGGAAGGAATCCCTATTTTTGAGAATGGAGATTAGTTGTGGACCCACACAACATCGAACTTCAATGATCCGAACAGTCTATTTTTTAAGTTACACCTCATAGATTATCTTTTTAAATTGGTATCAGAGCATGTTTGATCCTTTGGGGTTTAATCTACTTGATTTGTCTATCGTTCTTTGCCTCTCCGACTTCTCCTTTGATTGTTTGTCTAGTTTGGATCAATATATGTTTAGTTGTCGTTCATACAAGTTGAATGGATGAAGTGAAATAGTGGATCAGATATATTGTAGGACTGATGTATGTCACTAAAGCTCAAGAATTTTTTTTATAGAACGACAATAATGCCAACAACGGTTTATGGCACACATTGTTGGGCGGTTAAGCATTAACATGTGCAAAAAATGAATGTAACATAATGGTTTGTTAGATGTATGGGCATAAAAGAAAGGAAATGGTTAGAATATTTGAGTTAAAATAGGAATGACCGCAATTGAAGATAAGATGACAAAAAATTAGTTTAAGTGGTTTGAATATGTGCACCAAAGACCTAGAAATGCTCAAGTTAGTAGATGCAATTATGAGATAGAGGCTCAAGGCAAAATGAACATAGAAAAACCTAGGAAGACTTGGAAAGAGACACTAAGAAAATATATGGAGTACTTGGAGCTAACGAAAAACTTGACACAAATCTGAGTGAGTGGCGTGTTTAGGATTGATACAGAGATAACCCTAGAACAGTGAATTTAGACCAATCGAGGAGATGACCTTTTATTATAGCGAAGTCCATATTAAACCGGGGGAACCCTAGACGATATCTAGGAAGTAGATATTGCATTCTCATAGGAGTGTAATTACTTGCGACGCACACTAGTCCTTAGATTGTAAGGACTCCAATATTATAGGAAACATGTTAACTCCTTGCTGGATTAGGTTTCCGTATCTTCCGGAACAAGCATGGTCACTCTCAGCGAAGTCGTTGGACTTTGCCCGCAGATTCCTAAACATGATGATTGTGGCATCGTTGCTCCGTTTATTCAACTTCGCAATAGAGGTTGTTGAGTTCATAACCAAACTTTTGAAGCATGTGTATTTGATTTGCCCTACTTCGACCCTGGAAAATCATGGTTTGACATTTAATTATTTGAGTTTGCTTGTTAGTTTAGGATTTGAGCCATCCGAATTAGAGTTTCTTAGGTTTTGCACCCTAGAAATATAACTTATAATTTAGCATGAATAATAGGCTGTTGAGTTCATAACCAAACTTTTGAAGCATCTCGGCAATCTCGTTTAGTTGTTTTCTGTTAATAATATAATGTTCATAGTTATATATCATTTATTTGTACGTTCGTTATTTTCAACTTATATAATTATATATAAGGCTTTTTAGCCAAAATAGTCCTTGAAATTTGCATAACTCCTCACTTTGGTCCTTGAGATTTGAAATCGATAGAATTGTTTAAAATTAACAAGAGGTCCTTTTGTTCAAAAAGAAAAAGAAAAAAACAAAAAACAAAGAGAGGTCCCGAGTATAAATTTATATTTTTTACTTTCCAATGATTATTCTTTCTAATATTTACAAATTTCCATTTAGTTGTTAATGTCTTTTTAATTACTAGCTAGTAACTATGTGGGTTTAAGTTTTAAATGTTCATTCCAATTCAACTCTAACTTTCAACAAAGAGTAATGCGTAGACCAACTTTTTAGACCAAATTTGCAAATCATATGACTTGTCACAAATAGATTTAATTTAGTGCTCATTCATTACTTACAAATATCAATTAAAGACTCGAAAATATGATTATTTTTTTAGTCTTATACTAACAAGGTTAGTAAACAAGAAAAAAAACGTCTCACAATTTATATAGAAACACTTTAAAAGTTTTGATAGAGGGGAAACAAGACTCTTAATCTATCTGCTTGTAAGCTGAGGCTTTTTTAGTACATACTAAATTAGTTGTTTCGTGTTTCTAAATAATTGAGTTTGAAGTACTTTACTAAATATAGTTTTATATAAATCTTACATGTGAAAACAAATAATTTTTCATATATAAAGTTATGACATTTTTTGGCTCGCCCTGGGCCTCAAAAATTCCAAGATCGGCACTGTCCAAACTTGCACTCATCCTCTCTCTTGAATCCTAATTTCGCAGACCATCAAAACCATGGCCGCTATTTACAATAGATCCATTAATTGCCTCGCGCCGTTGCTGGTTGCCCAGCCATGAAACGGGCAGTTTCAGATTTGGTGGAGGAATCCTCTGGTGGGCACCTACCTAATCCTTCATAAACCCTGCAGTTTTGTTAGCTTCTACATTCCTGGTCCTTCATAAACTTACAGTTTTATGGAAATAAAACCCTTACAAGCAACTATTATTTACTCTTAAAGATGTAATATCTGTTTAAGACACTTTAAAACGACATCATGTCATGCAAATATTTCACCGAAAAAGATCATCTCTCTTAACCAAGTAGCAATGCTAGCAACAAACACTACAACACTGGCTGCCTCACTCGCTGGTCGTGAGGTAGACACCTACAATGGTCGCAGGGTGTATACAAGCAGTGACTGCGGCAGCAAGTGTTGCAGCGTTTATTGCTACAATTTGTTCCTTAAGAAGTTCCACATTTAACAACCTCCGTAGAAGCTAACCAAGATAAGGGAAATCAAGGACAGACCATATACTCGAATACAAAAGTTCAAGAAATTCAACAAGAACTTCAGAAAACAAACTTCGTAACAGAAAAATGAATATAGCAGTATGAAACATGACAAATGTAGTATATATAAAGGGAAGTGTTATTTGCACACCAAAAATCTCATTCTACACTCCTCATAAGTATATTTTTCTTTCCAAATATAGAGAGTTTGGAGTGTAGAATGAGATTTTTGGAGTGCTGGTAACAATTCCCTACATAAAAATGTATATAGATACCATCTCTATCTGTTGCTTGAGCAATAGACGGTTTCTTTCAAGTGAAATTTGTCCACGACAAAGTTGCATGATGCAAACAAGCGGAGAACACACACTGATAAGGCAATAAATCCAATATCAAGCTACTACACTCTAACCATAGATCAAGCAACACAAAGTTGACGTAATAGCTTTCTATAACAATGCTTCTTGGAGTTTTATTTGATAATCCAAAATTTTCATCACATGAGTTAATCAAATATGAATATGCGAGATTGACACCCTCAACTGAACTAATGAATAAAACTGTTCTGCAGACAAGCTCTCAAAATATTTGAACATACAAAAGGGCGACATAAACAGGATTAGGAAAAAGAAAAACTACAAAAACAGGCATATGCAACTTATTTCAACTCGAAAACGATTTTTGAAGCAAGAATCTGCACTTGGGAGTTCTTTTTACTGAGACAAATACCTAAAAACACTACGGAGAGAAAGGGGTAAAGAATGAACATCAACGAAAATGCATGTCATTTCTTGAATCCATACAGTTTTAGACCTATCGAGATACAAGTCTATGCATTATAATAGAGAATTGGTAACTTTATGAAGAGGTGTTTGGCTTTGCCGCACTAAGTTAAGAACAGTAGGAGGTTTATATCATCCCGTCGACAGCACAAAGAGGGCACAGAACAATAAAAAGCCAAAACAGAAGCTAATTCTGAGTCAACTAGGTCACCCATATCTGTAACCAAGTGAAAATGAAGCCTTTGAAACAGGTCGAAACAAACCGACACTGCTTGCTCGAATAAATAAAAGATTTTTTTAACACCTTAACCAACTATTACTAACAGGATAACAGCGATTAACGCCGGCAATATGGATACAATCTACAAACAAAATACATGTATTGTGCAAATAGTTTGAAGTATCGAAACGAAACACCAATCTATCAACACCATCATACAACTCACAATCAGTAACTTAATCTTTGTCTTCCATTCCATTCTACGAATAAATATCAACCATAAGTAATTCATAACTGCAAAATTCGAGCAAGCAAAAGATTTCGCATACGAAAGAAACTATATTAGAACATAACAACTCTGAAAACAA